CACACACACACACACACACACACACACACACACACACACACACACACACACACACACAGGTTTCATAGCTACATTGGACCAGCCTGGTGGCCAATCGTCATTAATTGCACCACCAAGAGCAAAGTGTGAAGGTTCAATTAGCAGAGTAACAGCACAGTTTTTCTCAAAAATATTGCAATGCACACAGCATCATGGGTGACATACCAGAGTTCAAAAGAGGACAAACTGTTGGTGCACGTCTTGCTGGTGCATCTGTGACCAAGACAGCAAGTCTTTGTGAGGCTGTTGCACATTTTCGCATTTACCGACAGAGTAATGCATCTCGAGATTGTCCTATCTCTGCATCGCGGATGACATGMCAGGAAGTAACAGGGAAGTTCAGCTCGGCACAGGTTCCCAGGCGAAGCGGAGAGCTTGTCGTCTCTGTAGTTCCTGAACAGGTAAGAGCACATTAGATGTATTTCAGCCAAACAAAGACGTATTGTAACAACTGTTCCGTTGCAGTTATTCCAGCATGTGTTATCACATATAGCCACGAAAGTACTTTAATTGACAAATAAAGAAGTGAGAAGACGACTCACTCAGTGGATGCTAGTTAGTTAGCTGTTGATATTTTAAATTTAAGAACGTGTACATTATCGCAGAAACAACTGGGTACTGGTTTTATTATTTATTTTCAACAAGTGAATGTAATAAAATTAACAAAGTCGTTTATATATAAAAGAAAACTGACTTTGTGTCGCCCAGACTCGAAAGCTACAGGTAACGCTTTCTTGACGTCACGTTAAGATAAATTTATCCGTGTTGCTCAAGGTTGTTGAGAGGAAAACGGAGTCAAAGGCTTCGCAAGATGCTCCGAGCTAGTGGTACGTGAAACACGAAATGTAATGATTTATGGCTACAACTGAAAAACTAACTTTTTTTTTTTTTACCTCCTCCTGTGTTTACTGAAGGTGTTTTCAAGTTAGTAGCGCTAATCTTAATGTTTCTCCTGGCTGTCTTCTTGGCTTTTCAACTTCTGGAGATAAATATGGAGTTTAAACTTGGCAACGTGATATGTGAGTATTCTTTGACGTCTTGAGAATTTGTTAAAAGGAAGCAGCACAAGTGGGGGGCAGTGAAAAGGCTGCACTTCAGTCAGAAAAAAAAGGGTGTAGCGTTTTATTTATTTAGCGTTTGAATGACTGCTTTGTTATGACTAATACACTCATTCACCTGTGGTTTTGGTTTGCGTTACAGTCGAGCCACAGCTCCGGCTGCCTATTGTTGCACCTCTGCAGAGCAAGATCAAGTCCTCCCTCGCATATTTTAGACTTTTTTCCTTACACCTGACACAGAGAAACATCCAAAACACGCGGGAGGGGAAAAGCTCTGCGTGCTTATCATGCGACATCTAACACCCCTGAAGATTTGTGTTTCTCTCTTTTAAAGCAACAAGCTGTGGCTGACGTTTAACCGTTTTAAATGTTTACTTCTTTGCAGCAAAATCTGCACCTRTGAATGCAGCACGTAAGTTACGCCCAACATATTCTCTATCAGTCAGCATAAGAAAGATATACTTTTAGCTGAAAGCTTTTAGATGACACTATTATAGTTAAGCCTAATGCGTGTGTGTTGTTTACTTGACGTGTGAATTGTTTTTGTCTGTGTTTGTTTGCAGCAACAAAAGCGGCCGCACATAAATGTGGGCTGTCCAAGGCTTGTCCTCCTGGGCATTTTGCCTTCAAGATGACGAGCGGCGCCGCCAGCGTGGTCGGACCCAGAATCTGTCTGGAGGATAAATTGTAAGCGTGCAAACAGTCCAGATTAACAGTGTGTGCTTTTTTTGCTGACTGATTAGCATTCGTGGCTAATCAGCCCTTATCAGAGCAGGACTTGTTTCACTGTGGAAAAATGACACTCAGCCTTCAGCCGGTATCATCATGAGCTCTTTTTGTTTTGGGAAAAATACGCACATCTCACACCTAATCAGATTCATCCCTGGAACACAGAGCCGGTCTGTTTCCTGATGATGATGTCAGGACATTCTCATGGTGTTTTATAATTGCATATAATCATCTTGACTAATTATTTATTCCTCAGCGTGCTTGAGGTGTGTCCCGTTAGCTCAGATGTTGTCACCTAACCTTAAAAGCTTCCAAAGCCATGATATCATTTGGTTTTTCTCAAAACTGTTTAAGGCCAAAGTAATCTGAGTATATACACTTTGACTCTGAGGAAAATAGGGCTGCCACAAACAATTATTTTTATAACAGATTAATCACCGATTTATTTTTATTTTTTCGATCAGTCGACTAATCAGATCATACGTTAATTGAATACAAAACATAGCTTATCGTGCCAGAATGCAGCTGCTATTATATAACCATCGTTAGATTTTAGCTATATGCTAACTAAAAATAACTGCTGTGGAAGGTAAGTTCTGCTCTGCAGATATTGCATCGTACAGGTTTCTCTTTCATTTCCTTAAAATGATCCCACACTTTTGAGCTCCGTTGCTGGGTAGCCATGATACCAGAGCTAGGGGTGTAAGAAAATATCGATACACTGAAATATCGCGATATTTCATTTCCTGATATTGTATCGATATTCTAAAGCCCTGTATCGATTTTTTTTATTAAGGTTTAAAATGTCAACTTTCTTGCCAGGCGTTTATTTTTATGTTGTAGTTCAGCCTCTGACCACTAGTTGGCAGCAGTGAGCCAGCTATTTGGCTCCTCTACCTCTTGAGGTAGAGGCTATTAATTGTTGGGTGACCATATTGTAAATTAATATTAAAAACTACAAGCTGCAAAAATATATTTTCAAACTATTTATTGGCAAATTTAGTCTAATAATTGAAAAAATGGATGAAATAAGAAATATGAAACAAATAAAATAAAATACATACAAAGCAGAACACAGCTAAATGTATCAAAAGTACGTCTCTGTAATATTAGAATTTTCTGAGACAATGAATTTTGTTTTTTCATTTTTTCCCCTGTAAGAGGTTTTAATTTAATAGAATTTTTTGGACAAAAAAAATCACAACAAATCGCCTTGCTTACAGTATCGCAATATATCGGAGGGATATATACAGTAGTATCCTGACCCCTCTGTCATATGTATCATATCGCCAAATTCTTGCCAATACACAGCACTATTATGTATATAGCACATTAAAACAACAAAAGCTGACCAAAGTCCTTTACAGTTTAGTCAAGACTTGTATCAAAAAACAAACAAATAATAGATACAAATACAGAAACACACTATAATACAGCAGGTAAAATAAGTATTGAACACATCACCATTTTTCTCAGTAAATATATTACTAGAGGTGCTAATG